GTTGAGGACCACATTCACATAAACACACACACACGCCACAAGGCTTTCTACGGTTTTGTGGCCGTTTGTAGCAGAAAAATTGCGCCTAGTCCTCAGTTCTGTTGACTGAAGACTTGTGTTTCTGCATGTCCAGTTTCAGTTCCAATTTGTACAATCATCAACCACGCATATTCGTGCGCCGGTTTTGGTTGCCCATTACGCCCAAGAATAGGAGAAGAAAGGAAAGTTGAAAATGGAGTCAAACAGAAAACGGAAAAGTTCAGTGGTTCAGGGTTGCAAAGAAACTAAGGAGATGCACGAACGCCACTGGTTGCGACACCCAGCCAAATCGCTCAGTGTAGCTAACCATCGGTGACCATCATCCTGAGGACCCCAGCCAGGGAGCCTAACAGAACCTATGTGACCCAGTCTCCTGGTTAGGGTTTTCAGACCCTCATGCCAGGTCTTAGCTTGACCTCCCTACATTTTTTTCCAACCTCTACCTGCCTCGCCAAGCATCGCTCGCCGTGACAACCTATCTGGTGACATGCGTAGCGCATGTCCCAACCAGCGTAATCTAAGGAGTTGGATTCCTGACCCAGTCGACGACCGCGATTACCTAAAACGAGACTGTACGTTGGCGTGGTGTGGTGGCTTGCGCGCCTCAATGACCCTGCGAGCCTGCTGCTCAGTGATGGAAACTGGTGGACTACCGCGAAGTATGTCGTGCCCTAAAGTCTTAGCTACCCATTTGGAAAACCATCCTTCCCATTTGTCTAGTTCTTCTCAACCCCAAATAATCCCTGAAGCCTCCTGTTTACGCCACCCATCGAATATCAATCAGAGTTTCACAAACACGGCCAGAGATTCAGGAGCGATAGAATTTTTAAAGCCAAAATCCCCTTCTCACTTGGCCGCATTTAATGTCCGTATGCTCTATCAGATTGGCCAACAAGCTGCTCTGACTAGAACCGTCGAAACTTTTAATGTAGATGTATGTTATGCCTCTGAAACACGCATACAAAACCCCACTTCCATTATCTACCTGTGTTTTCCTGATCCAACCTCAACCTCACGCTTCACCCTTCGTGTGTCAGACGATTCGGCATCCGAAGCTCGCGGTGNGGTGTCGGGATTGCGCTAAGTGTCAAGGCTGAGCGCTCGCTTCTTGACTGGATTCCAGTCAGTAGCCGATTGTGCGCTGTACGTCTCAACGGTTCAGTTCGAGTCAACAGCTACAGAATAAAGCGTCGATGCTTATTCATCGTATCGGCGTATGCACCGACCGATTGCAATATATCTGAAATCAAGAATGAATTCTACCAGGATCTTTCTCAACTACTCCAAAGTGCTCGATCAACGTAGTAGTGGCCGCCGGAGACTTCAATGCTCGAGTGGAATCCCTGGAGGAATCAGAAAGGCTTCTTGGCGGACCACACGCAATCCCAG